CATTGGACCACAGGGTGGGCTCTGGTTCTTTGTTCAGCATGGATGAGATGTACAGTCAGTCACAGCAGACGTGGGGCCTGGTTGCCTGTCATAGGAACCCTCAGGGTGCTGGCTCAGGAAGAGAAGGAAGAGAGCAGCATAGGCCTGGCTGGCAGCCTGGGTATGTGCCTGGCAGCAGCCTCTGCTCCTCATCCCATTGCGAGACCCAAGCGCATGTGTGCCTACCTCTCTGCTTGTCTCCAGTTTTTCTTGTGCTGGTAGCTCTGCAGCCAACTTATGATTCCTAGAACCTTCTAGAACTTCCATTCCTATCATAATAGCTGTTCCACGCGGACACCTGAGTTGCATGTTGGCACTGAGGTACCTTTGCAGACTGTGAAGAATCTTGGCCAACAATTTTGCTCTTGTCTCTTTTCACGTAATTGCCTTTACAAATTATGGATAACAACTTCTTTGTTTAGAACAGGTTAATGAATCTCAAATAAGAAAATGTGTGTCTTCTTTGGAAACAAATTTGTTCTATTTGATCTGCATGATAACCCAAGTGTCCCTGACTTACAGTGGTCAGACTTAGCCTCTTTCTTCCTGGGGATTGTGTAAAAATGTGATCAGAGTAAAAGTTTTCATCATTTCTCTAACTGGTGACACACAGTAGGATGATCTCTGGTGTTGGATAGTGGCAGGGAAATCTAGCTCTGAGATGGCTGGTGATCATAGGGTAAAAGCTAGATTTCTTTCTACCATGTCCTGGGTTCCCAAACCAGGATTCTGGGTGGATGAAGTGGATAAATGCATTTCTTCCCTGGGGAAGGCTGGTGGGCACGTCATTCTCGTGGGCATTTCTTTTTCTTCTGTGTGGCCTGTGTCTTTCTGCTCTGTGTGACAGGACTTTCGATACCCTGTGTTCCTATTTCCTATAAGGGCTAAAGGGCTTTGCTTGTGAAGGGTGAAGTTTGCCTATCCTGTTTATTTAGTCCCTCATAGGAGAAAGTGCTAGGACATCCTGAGTATCTGTAGGCTGAAAGTCCCAAATGTTCCACAATTTAAGAACTTTTGAGTGTACACATGATGTCACAAATAGAAAATTGTGACCTCACAGAGACTGCAGTCACAGTGTGGGTGGGTGGGTGTACTAAAAATATGATTTAAAACAACTTCCAATTTGTGTGTATAACATATATGGTAAATAAATGGCATATTGACAATTATGTCCTCTCTCTAAGATATATGCACACATGTACATGTATTTTAAAACATGAAGACCCTCGCCCCTCACCTCCTGCAGCAGGCGACAAAGCTGACTCTCCCCTTTGCCAGCTGCAGCACAGTAGATCTGACCCTGTTGACTGGGGCTTGGTGAGCCTGATTGAGAACATGAGTGTGGGAGATAAGGTCCTGCCTCTCATCTGCTAAAGGGTGGCATTGGCAATGGAGTGATGCCTCCCCTACTGTCTGTGGTAGATGGGAGAGCTGGAGTTGAGGTCATCAGAGTAAAAGAGTTGCCCCCCGCCACACTATCAGCTTCAGCACTCAAGAGAGTGACCCCTGCACGTTGCCTGGGCAACCCAGTAGAGCTGACCCTGGTGGTGTAGGTGTGGGTGAGCCAAATCTGAGGGCATGGAAGCAGGAGAACTCACCCACCCCTTTTGCCTTGCTGCTTAGGGTATACTAGTCTGGGCCAGCGCTGGAGAGCTCATTCTGGTGCTGAGGAAAAGGGAGAGCTGGTGGGCTGACCAACTCTGCAATGACCCAGGCCTAGAACCAGGACTATGAGCTGGTTCACGCCAACATCCCCTCCATCTGTGATCTGCTGGAGCTTATGAAGGGGTTGGTCCTGCAGGTCCAAAGCTGCAGGATCTCCATGACACAGGGCAACAAGTAGGATGTCCAAGAGGAGTCCCACTGAAGGCTCAGTATTGATAGTGTCAAAGAAACCAGAGGCCTCGAGCCAGACCAATAGCTTTTTGCAGTGAACATTTGCAAATAATGATATATGGACGCTCACTGTGTGTCACACTATAGCTTCCACGATGAAGTTTTTCTTTCTTTTCTCTTAAATTTTATATTATTTTATTTTGGGAGGGAGTTGCGAGGGCAGAAGGCAGATATGAAGGGACAGGGAGATACAGGATGTGAAAGCCATGAAGAATACAGAAGATATTAAAGAATCATGAAGAAGGCTGGAATAGGAAAGGAACGAACATGTAAGTCCCCAGCATTTCCAATCTGGCATTCTTGACTGGAGCAGTCTTCATGTTTAAGATGAGAGGATAGAAACATCAAGAAGTTAAGTGATCAGTCAAAAGCTACCATGAATGGCACTGCATTCTAAACCAGATGATCTGACTTTAGAACACGTGTCCTCAACAGTCAGGCCCCATGATTTCGTGACTTATATGCCTTTATTGATCTGGATAGTAATCTGTAATGGAAAGAACATTTGTAGCTTATCAAATGCATGGGCTGGAAGTGTCATAGGCTAAGGTACTGGGACGAGAGCTTCTGAAGAGTTTTGGGTTCTCAGGGCAGAACCTTCATAAATGGAATTAGTACCATTACAAAGTGGGCCCAGGTACTCCTGGCCTCTTCTACTACGGGAGGTGACAAGGGAAGACAGCGGTATAACAGGAAGCATAAACAATTCCTAACTGAACGTGTGGTCAGCTGTCACCTTGATCTCAGCGTTTCCAACCTCCAGAATTACGATAGTGAACTTAAGCTATTAGATATGTCCCTATACTGACTTGTAAAGAGTAAGGGACTCTAAGCATTCCACAAGCTGAGTAGTAAGAAGGCTTCAAGGTTTAATTTCTATTCTTCCCAATGATTTGTGGAAATTTCCCAGTAAAACACCAGGGTTAGAATGTGATTGAAAAGTCTTTTGTATATATGCTGCTGCCAAGGCTTATCACTGATGTTTCTTTTTTTTGACGATTTTCTTCTTTATTCTCTAGTATTCTACTGTATGCTTTCCCCTCTATGTGTATATACCCGGCAAAGTCTTTCAGACCATACAAAAGTTACAATGTGGTTACATTCTGTTTTTCAAGTGAATAATTACAATCAATACAAGCAAAAAACAGCATGTTTTCCACATCCCTTACATAATTAAATACTTTACATATTGCATGTGAAAAACAAGTTATCCCAAGAACCCACAAACATTCATACCCATGCAACTAGTTATAGATTAGCAGAGTGTCTTTGTAAGTGATATTTCTTTTTAAGTAAAAAGAATAAGTGAATGTGTGTTAATATGCACACAGTGCTACAGATCACAGAAAAGAACACAGAACATCCTGTAGCTCAAGTTATAGGTGATTGTGAGCCTCCATGTGGGAGCTGGGAACTGAACCTGTTCTTCAAGAGCAGCAAGTGCTCTTAACCACTGAGCCATCTCTCCAACCCCCTCTGACATCTCTTAATTTGGGGAAATGTCTTCAGAACAGTTATATAGAAGCATAAAGTCATTTGCATGTTTTAGATTAAAGATAAAGGATTGTTTCATTACAGAAACTGAGTTTTTCACTATCATTGGTGAATTTAGCTGAAAATAAATACTTAGGAGTACACCACCACTCTAACATACAAGAATGATCCCACTACTCTGGGGAATTAAATGTAGGAATAAACTATATGTAGAAGAGTTATATAAAAGTTAGTTCATGCAGCACAAAAACAATAGATGCATTTTTGCCTCACATATCTAAAAGGGCAAAACCCACCATCGATAAAACCTAACTTTACTGAGGAATCATTTATAGTGCATTAGAAAGCAAATAGGGCTGGCTTGTGGCATGCGCAGAGAATAGCTGTGAAGTGATAAAATGAAAAGGCCAGCATAACATATAAGACAGACAAAGCTCTATGAAGGGCTGCATTCCTTTAGCAGAAAAAAAACCATTGGCAGTAGTCAAGACACTGCTTTGTATCCCGCGGAATGAGTGGAACCAGAAAGGAATGACTGTTGCCTAGCCAACGTCTGTGCAGCAGGGCAAGGAACGGAACCTTTCCCACATGGAATGCTAACCAACAGAAGGATGCACACCGTCCTGTGAAGGAGGAAACCAGCCCAGAATTTAAGTGCAATGCCATAGTCATCACAGCATGAATAGTGGTAAAAATGAAACCATCTTGATGAGGAGCAATTTTACAAAATCCACAAAACTGCAAAATGGTGTTTCATTGTGCCTACCATTTCCGCTTCTGTGAGACACTTACATAGGTGCCGTAATCTCATATGTGGTCAGCTCAAGTCACAAAGAGTCATGTAAGGTACCACCAAGGAGGCTCAAAAAAAAAAAAAAAAGAAAGTTCCTTGTGTACAGATATGCTAGCATGCAGCATTTTATATTAAGACGAAAAGCACTATGATACCTATGGAAAAATAAAACTATGAGAATCTATATTCATCATATAGGTGAAAATCCTTTTGGGAAATTAGCAGCATACTCTCACAATAGTAGTTACCTCCCATACAGAGCAAAATTACATGGTTGGCAATAGCAGTGGGGCAGACATTTTTCAGCTGATATAGTTTAAAAGATTCAGATTTCTGAATGGATGAGCTATTGCTTATTAACATCAAAACCAACTCTTTTCAAAATGATGTGAATTGATTAAATGTCACTGATTTGTACACTTTATCACATATATTGCTATACTACTACAATGTTGCTTTTTGAGATAGGGTCTGGTAGATCCCGGACTAGCCTCAAACTTTCTATAGAGCAAGAGGATGGTCTTGAACTTCTGACACACCTTCTGAATGTTGGGATTACAGAGCCCCCACACCAATCTGCGTGGTCTGAGAACGGAACCACAGCCGACGTCCCTAGTCTTCTTATGTATATTTTATTCAACCGAACAACCTTAAAAACAATTTCTTTAAAATCATCTCCATGTCTCCACAAGCCTATAACTGGGTGTGTATTTCTTTCAAATAAATATAATACATTAAGGCTAGTACATAATATAGCATTTTTTAGAGGGCAAAAAGATGGTGCGAGTAAATAGGAGGAAGTTTAATGAAAAACATACAGATTTAAACTCAAATTCAGCAATTAAAGACAATGGATAGACTGTGGAATATCCACAGAATAACAGGTCACTTAGAGTTGAGAGAATTTTATATTGGGAACTTGGTGTGAGAACAGAGAGTGAGGAATCTTTGTCCAGCCGGCCCCTCCTCTCATCTATCCGCTACAGTCTAATGGATCATCACATGGCCTCTTCAACCCTCTGAAATATAAAGAAGAGGAAGTCTCAGTTCTAGCCTTTGGCCCCAGACTCATCAGGGGAATTACGCCACTGAACACACCACTGAACACACAGGCTTTCTGTTAATAATCAGAACCTGTATACCCTTGGGGCTGACTTGGGTTCCAGCCTCTGCTTGTCTTAATATCTTAAGGATTAGGTATTATCTGCTCTCCACTTTACTTGCCTGGGCTTCATCACCTTGATATTGTAAAATGTTACCTACTCAATATCTGACACTCAATGAAACTCTGCTTAAGGACATAGGTCCAAAGGACTCATCCAAAAAAGTAAATAGTAAGTATATGGAGTCATGTATATGTTAATTAGCTCTGCCAAGCATTTCCCTTGGATGAGGGCTTCAAAAGCTGTGGATACAACAGAACGATCACAGGCTAAAGCAACATTCTATAAATAATAAAATAAACATTTTGGTTAATTATTCTAAAATGTTCGATTTAAAACAAGATCTTGTCTCTTACTTAAAGAGACAGGATCATAATAACCCCAATTTAAGAGAACAAACACTAAAAATAAAGATACACATGGCCAATACATCAGAGTTATTAGGCAAGAACTTTTTAAAAGAATTACATTATTCTTCTCAAACATGTGGGACACAGTGAGTTAAAGGAAATGAAAAATAGAATTTCACCAGAGAACTAAAATCTAATGTAAGAAGAAACGGGCTTGGATGAAGTGTCCTTTTGTTTGCAATTTAACAAATAAAGCCTACTTAAAGATCAGGGTGCAGGGCTAAGTCACTAGTTAGTCACACATAGACTAAGCCACTAGTCATACAACTTAAGCCATTAGTTAGCCACAGAGCACAGGCAGTGGTGACACACACCTTTAATCCCAGCCCTGGGGAGACAGAGGCAGATGGATGTCTGTGAGTTCAAGGCCATTCTCGGATACGTGAGAGAGAATCAGTCTAAAAGAGAAACATAGCTCACACCTTTGATCCTCGCACTTGGGATGACACACCTCTAATCCCAGCACTAGAGAGGAATATGAGGCAGGAACTCAGTAGAGCCTCAGTCTTACTTCTCTTCCATTCACTTTTGTACTCCCCTTATTTAATATTTACTTTCAATTTAGTGGACCAGTGTTTTCCTATTCTGCTCTTTCTTTCTCTTTTTGAAAAGGTATATCCAAGATACACAGGTTACCTGGACTTTAAGTGTCTTCTAAGGGCTGAGATTGTTTTAGTTTGATAGGATTTCTGTAGCTCCTTTCATATCCTACCTTTAGACAGGGACCCTTTATCTCATCTTTGTCTTTATTCTCCAATTTCCATTTACTTCTCCCCCTTCTGTTCTCTTCTCTCTGATATTAATAACTAGTTTCACTTAACTTATTTCCTTTCTAGTTATAGCTTTCATAATTTGTATTTTAATTATCTACCTTTGTTCTTTCCCTCCTTACTGCTGGAGTTGAAGAGGCTTGCTTTAAATTGATTATTACTATATTTTCTTGTTGGCTTTATCTATTGTTTGTGGTGGCTTGTGTTGTTAACATTATCTGGGACAGAACTCAAGATCCAGCTTTACATCCTGAGAATACGGGCTGAGTGTTTAGCAGTTGAGTTATGACCCAAATCCAGAAGGGAGAAAGGATATCTTAATCATATTACAGCCCAGTTCTACTTGAACATTGCAAATATTTCCAGTAAAAGAATCCAGGTAACTAAAAAAAATTCAACCCAAGCCTAACTCCAGTAGCGTGCAATCTAAGCAATAGTGGAGAGCCTACCTTTAATGCCCTTCCCTGATAATGAGATTGATGACTACCTTATATGCTACCCTAGAGCCTTCATCCAGTAGGTGATAGAAGCAGACATAGACATCCACAGCTAAACACTGAGCAGAACTCCTGAAATCTAATTGCAGAGAGGGAGGATTGATGAGCAAAGGGGTGAAGACCAGGCTGGAAAGCCCACAGAAACAGCTGACCTGAACAAGGGGGAGCTCATGGATCCCAGACTGATAGCTGGGAAACCAGTATAGGACAGATTCAGATCTCCTGAACATGGGTGTCATTTAGGAGGCCTGGAATCTATGGGGCCTCTGGCAGTGAATCAGTATTTATCCTTAGTATGACACATAGAGGGACACTCTCTCAGTCTAGACACACTGGGGAGGGCCTAGGCTCTGTTCTAAAGGATATGAAAGACTTTGAAGATCCCCCATGAAAGGCCTCACCCTCCCTTGGGAGCAGAAAAGGAATGGGATATGGATTTGGTGGGGGACAGGGGAGGAGGGGAGGGAGAGGGAACTGGAATTGACATGTACAACAAGCTTGTTTCTAATTTAAATAAAAATAGTAGTGTGGATTCCAACACAGAAATAAGAATCAGAGATCCTCTGAGAATGACTGATTCCTTAGCAATGGATTCCAATGCAAATGAATTAGTGATATCTCAAACAAAATAATTCAAAAGAATGAGTAAATGAATGTTCAAAGAAATGGAAGAGGACACATTCCCAAACAAATTAAAACAAAAATACAGGTATCTGAATATGATAAAGAAGAAGACATAGGATATGAAATGGAAACTCAACAAAGAAAATTACTGAGAACACATAAATAACATGTGGGAAATGAAAAGCTCAAGTCAAACAGAAAGCCTCACCAAAAGACTAGAGGAAGTCAAAGGCACAATATCAGGGCTTAGAGACGAGGCAGATGATGATGAACATTAAAATAGCATTGAAAATAGATAAGAAAACGAGGAGAACATACAAGATCTTTAGGACACCATTAAGAGACCAAATCTATCATGGGCATAGGAGAAAAAGGCAAGCTCAAGACATTAAAATGTTTAATAAAATTATGTCAGAAAATCCCGTAGGTATATATAGGGCAAGAGATGACTCTGACTGAGGTGGTTAGAATACCAAACAAATGAGACCAGGAAGGACTGCCCCACGATGAAACCATTCTGCTGTTGAATAAACCTTCTGTACACTGTGAAGATGTGTTTCTCTCATTGGTTTCATAAAAAGATAACTGGATAATAGGAATATGTTTGGTGGGAGAGTCAGACTGGGAGAACATAGGGAAGAAGAAGGGCAGAGTCCTCAGCCTGTCTCAGAGGAAGCAGGATGAGTTAACAAGCTCTGAGATACATGAGAGCATGCAAATGAATAAATATGGGTTGATTTAAGTTGTAAGAGCTCATTAGTAACAAGCCTAAGCTACTGGATAAGCATTTATAAATAATAATAAGTCTCTATGTGGTTATTTGGGAGATGGCTAGCGGGACAGAAACTTCTGCCAATACCATTCAACATCAAATTATAATCAAATTATAATCCAACTTTGTAGTAAAAAGAATATTTAAAACTGAAGGAAACACCAGGTCACATATAAAGGCAAATCAGAAAAAACATCATATTTCTCCATAGAAACTTTAAAGGCCAGGGACTTTTAAAGATGTATTTCAAGTTGCAAAAGGCAATAATCACAACATGGATTCCCATACCCAGCAACGTTATCCTTTACAAATGAAGAAAGACAAACTTCAAGTGATAAACACAAGCTGAAGCTGAAGGAATTCATGACTACTAAGCTAGAGTTATAAAGGACGTGAAGGAATCTTACACATAGAAAAATAAAAACATTATTGAGGCCACAGGAAAAACTACACTACATGAGGATAATCAATAAATGAAAGGGAACTAGGAAATACAGCATAAAACCAAATACCAGGATCTAACACATATTGTTCAGTAATAGTTGAATATTGATGGTTTCATGTCTTCATACAAAGGATAAATACCAACAAATTTGCTTAAAAATAGGACCCATCTGTTGTTATAAGCAAGAATGCACCTACTCATCAAAGCCTAATGGTGAAAGAATGGAAAGATCATTTCAAGGAATAGAACTAGAAAGCAAGAAGGTATAGAGATGCTACTATTTGAAAAATCTATTTCAAACCTAAGTTAAAAGAGATAAAGAATATTATTTCACATTTGATTAAGTTCACCATCTAGCAAAAGGATGTGCATTAGACACCAGCACATCCAACTATGGAAAAGACCATTTTACTAAAAACTATTTATAGATTCAATGCATTCCCAATCAAAATTCCTATCTCATTTTTTCACAGAACAGAACAATAACTACCCTAAAATTCATATGAAACCATGAAAGACCCCCACCTTGCCAAAACAATCCTAAGCAAAAGAAAAAAATGCTGGAGATAACATTTGAGATCTTTATATTACGGAGGCATAGTAATAAAAACAACATGGCACTAGCATATCCAATCTCATAAAATAAACACTACTGTATATAAAGGCACAAGTTGATCATAACATAATAATAGAGGGTGACTTCAATAACCCACTTTCACAAGTAAGTCATATGGACAAAATGTTAGCAAAGAAATAGCTGAGCTAACTGTCATTATAATGGACTTAACAGGCATTCCACTCACCCACAGCAAGATACCCATTTTCCTCAGCAGCTCATGGATCTTTCTCTAAGACACAATACACACTTTAGGACTCAGATAAGTCCTTACAAGAAAATTAATTTTTTTGGTTAAATACTATCTGATCACAATGGAGTGAAACTAGAAATCACCATCAAGAGAAAGAACAGAGCACACAAACTTAAGGAGATGCAGCAACATGTGACAGAGCGATGACTGTGCCATTACAGAGACCAACAGTATGAAACATTCTACAACTGTACGAAAAAAGAGAATGCCACATTCTAGAACCCGTCAGACACAATGAAAGCAGCTCCAAGAAGATGAAGAAGTTTAAATCTATGAATGCTTCCATTAAAACATCAGAGAAATATCAAATAACTAATTTAATGAAGCCCAATGAAATGGAAATGAATAGAATGAAGCCAAGATTCAGCCCTTCTAAAAGACAAATGAGATTTTCAAACTGTTGTTCAAACTAACCACCATGAAGAACACTCATTAATAAAATGAGAGGGAAAAGGAAGATATTACAACAGGCACTGATGAAGTTCAAAGGACCTTAATGTTATATTTTGAAAATCTAAATTCTAATAAACTAGAAAATTGTAAGAACATGGATAATTTTCTAGATAAATCTTACCTAAAAATGGTCTAAGAGAATACAAACAATTTAAGATTGAAGAAGTAATAACCAAGTTTTGCAACTAACAATAGCCAGATGTACATTCTTATGAATTCTACTGACCTTTAAAGAAGAAATAGCACAATGTTCCTCAAACTATTGCATACCTCAGAAAGGGAAGGTATGTTAACAAAATAAGTTTTGAAGTTAGTATTAGCTTGTTATCAAAGCAGATAACACACCATAAAACAAAATTTATAAGCTAATCTCTCTAATAAATACTCCAAGTCTAAACAATCCAGTCATAAATGGGACAATGAAATGGACAGGCAGACAGTTCTCAGAGGATGAAGTTCAAACATCCAATAATACAAAAGATATTAAATAACCTTATACACTAGGAAGATACAGATTAAAAGCACATTGAAATTCATTATATTACACCTCATCTAAGTCAGAATGGCTACCAGTAAATGTTTACAGCAAATGCTGGTGAGAAAGGAGAGGAAAGATGACTCTTATAGTCTTGCTGGAAATGCACATTAGTCTGTCCACTATGGAAAGCAGAACAGAGGTTTCTAAAATTTCACAAATAGAACTCCCATATGACCCAGCTTTACCACCTCTGTGTATACATGCAAGGACTCTACATCAACAAGCCAACAAGACCTCTGCACATCACCATTCATCACACTACCATTCCTCACAGCTGAATTTTGAAATCAGCATAGGTACCCATCAATGCACATATAAACTAATTGTACATATATTTGGCTTAATACAATGGTCTCCAGTTATATATCCATTTTCCAGGAAATTATGTAATTAAATTCTTTACAGCTGAATAAACTATCATTTATAAAATAAAACGAACAATCCAGTGAGATATTTATTTACTACCCAAATTGTGGAAGCTAAAGAACTATGAATAAATTTTAAAGTGCTCAAATCATACAGTCTGTAGATACACAGTTGACAAAGGAAGACAAAAATGTGGAATTTTCAAGGGAAACAAAAATGGAAAATTTATTTTTGGAACACTAAAGTAATTCTACCAGGCATAAAGAAGATATTATCTGAGATACAGACATGAGAGAAAAAATGAACAACAGAAAATGCAATTAACTGGTGACTATAAGTAGAGATTGACTATGGGAATTATGGTTGAGATGAGAGTGAGTATGAAGTGATCTTCAGGAACATGTCTTTGTGCAGCAGAAGATATCACAGAATTGCCAAAAGCCACTGTGTTAAACTGAAACAAGTGAAAAACTATGTCAATAGGTAGACACAGAAAAAAGGAAATAACAAGAAGTATCAAATTAACAATAAAAATTCTAAAAAAAATACAAGAAAGAAAAAGGAATCCAAGCACTAAGAACATAAGTTAAAGAGAAAAGAAATAACATGAAAAAGACACAGTCACACTAACAACTAAATTTAAGTGTAAATTAACTAATTCATAGTCCTAGGAAGATCAATGTTAAGTGTAAATTAACTACATATTCCAAGGAAGATCAATGTTGCCAGACTAGATGCTGTTCATGGAGAACATGCAGGCTGAATGAAGGATGCATAAAGAAAAACACACAGATATTAACTAAAGGAAAGCTGGCAGTTTGAAAAAAGTAGAAAGATGTATTTTTTTCTCTACTCCCCCTTCCTACTTCCAGCACTGTTATTTGACAACCTCCCAATGAGCAAACGCACATGCCTTTGACTTGAAAACTCCAGGGACTCACTGACAGTTTAACTCCCATGTCCCTAGGTTACTGTGTATCTATCTCTCTGCTCATTTATTTCCTGTCATTTCTTCTTGCACCTCACTGCTATGGCTTCAACTTCTTTTGTCTTAACTTTTATTGTTTATGTTTAGAGCAAGAAAATGATTCCTCTAACAGAGGCTACTAAGACTTAATTAAATTTGGTACTTCTTTATCAAGTGATAAGTTAGCAAGGTATAGAATTCTATGTGAACAATTACGAGAAAGATGTATTTTAAAGCAAAATTTGTTATTAGTGATAAAAAGTCATGTTTCATGAAGCATTCAGCACATCAGTCATATAACTGTCCATTCTGGCTATTATCTAGGTGCTTGGCATATGAGTTTTCATATTCTTTGTAATGCTTAAATGTATTTTTTGAAATTTTTACAGTGAGCTCAGATTGTTTATATAACCTGGTATATATAGTATTTATTTTTGCTTTCATCAGGAAAAGGAAGAAAGCAGACAAAGAGGATAAGAATCATCTTTATCTAAACAAAACGTCTAAACTAATCTTACCAATTCTGCACTGATTGCAGCTAGAAAAATTGCCTACATAGAGAGGTCAGGAGAAGTAGAAATAGAACAAACAAGGATTTTGTGGAAAAGTCTCACAATTTGATATTGTCTTCAGTGATACTTGTTTATTAAGGTTTCAAAAATAGTAAAGTTATTCTAAACCCATTTTCTTCAGGCCGATGACGGAGGAAGGATCAAGGGAAAGAGGACCTGAGGCTTTTATCCACCTGTTAGTTCTCAGAAGCACACCTCCTCTGTGACAGGAACTACTTGCAAGTGCTGTGATACACACAGAGCATTTGCAGCCCCATGTGGCAAATCAGTAGAGATTAACAAATGAAAAAAATAATAGGCTATGCATATTTGATAGGGTTATCATACAATAAGGTTTCCTTAACTAATATATATTAAATTGAATTCGCTATTCAAATTATGGAAAGTTTTAGAATATTAAAACTGAACTTCCCATGGTAAATCTGAAAAAAACTCCAGTTGGCTCCATACAAGAAGAAAGCAGAGCACAAAGGTGCCATATTGGATTCACAGTCATTCTCTTTCTCAGTGTTGGATTGGCTTAATTACCCATTTCAGTTACTGACAAACCTTTTTCTGCCAGTCACCTACCCAAGACCTTACTGGCAACACACCAGTGCCTTCCATGCTACTTCTTTGGTTTCTGTTTTCTCTTATTTTGTGGTCCACTTCCTTCAAATACAGTCCTGATGACTGGATACAAGCCTCCGAACTGCACCTGAATCATGTTCACCTGTCACTTTGTAACATGTCTTTTCCCTGGTTAAATTCCTATGGCTTCAAATATCATTTCTATCTGGTTAATTAGACTCACAGGCTTGACTCTAGCAAGCTTCCCACCGTGGTCATTCTCTGCTTACTGAGTTTAGAGGCAGGAGACTTTACCTTCCTAAACACAGTTGCCATGGTAACAGTCTCCTATGGATGTCTGCTGCCCTCTTTTTAAAGTTCCAGGTCACAGCTCATCCATCCAAAATTACTGTGGAACCTGGAGTGTGCATGCACCCCTCCATTTTATTTGTTCTTTGAGAGTTTTAAAGCTTATATTTTGACTGTGTTCATCTTCCTTGCCCAGCTCCTCCTAGATATACCCTCCCTTCCTTCCTTACCCAATTTTGTGTCTTGTTTTTAATAAACACATCAAGTTCAATTTGGGCTGCGCATGAATTCTTGGATATGTGGCCTTGCAGCACTGCATGAGGTTGGTTGACTGGGTTGAGCGTGGCTAACCTACAGGGGTCACAACCTTGAAGGGAACTGACTTTCTCTCAGCAGCTATCTACTGCCAAGTCCTTTAGCTAGGAGTGGAACTCCCTGCTCACCTCCCTCTCCCCTGCTCACCTCCCTCTCCATGCTGGGAGTTTTGTCTGAATTGAGTTTAGGATGTTTGTTAAGAGCCAGAGGCTACAGATGACTACAAGGAAACAGTGTTTTCCCTGACACATCATGAAGGTTGCACATAGGAACACATGCAGCTGTGACTGCACACACAAGGTGTTTCTTTCAAATGAAGGTCTCCCCCTCTCTTTCACCACCTCTCCAGTCACATCTGCCTTCTTCTCTTCTCCATTTACTTAAAATCATGTCTGCTTTGAGTTTCCTTAATGCCTTTTAAAAATTCGTGGACTTCTTGAATTATTTCTTAATACTTACACAAAGGTATTTATAAGCATTCTTTCACCATTTTCTTCCATAAGTATGAAAAAACATAAAAATCCTCTAACTTTTGAAGGCCTTCCTTCACAGCTGCCCAAACCATAAGAGATGTCTTTATGCCGGCCTATCGTAAAATGTGTAAGCAAATGCCTTAAATGCAAATAATTCATATTATAAAAATTTTATCTTCATTTAGTTATTGCTAAGTATGCTTCCTATCATATCCTGTCATCTCAACTGTATAAATATTTGGTAGACTTTATGCATGAATAGTATATAATCTGTAACTTTTCATTCATAAAATTTTTACAGCATATTAGAAAGGAAGACTTTTGACTTGTAAAATTCTTTGGGAATCTGTATTGCTAAGCCACTCAAATACATTACATATTTTCTATAGCTTCTATCATAGGACTGTCTTCTACTATAGGATTTTAAATATGGAAATGGTTATGATCAGTTTCTGAAATTTCAGTTGTGAACATCATAATTCTTAGGTACTTTTGTTGACAAATATATTGCAATCACAATTAATACTGAGAAAAACTTAGAATTTATTGCTCACATTTTTAAGACTTAAGAACTTATGGCACTAATCTTATCTCCCGTGTTTATGTGTCCATATGTGTGAAATATTAACATATACAGTTTATAATTGTAAATCTACCTGCAGTGAAACATTTGATGTATGTACTTTCTAAAACCCTTTTGGCCCAAACATTTGATTCTACTGTAATCTCCAAGATAAATTAGAAGATAATCAACTTTGACCACTTTAACATGAAGCCAAGAGATTTTCAAAAATTTCTCTTGCCATTCACTTAATCTTATTTATCCCTTTCTCTCTGTGGAGTCCCCTTTCTAATCTATTCATCCACATGTTGCATGGTTTTATCATTGAATCTCTGATTTTATCTCTTGCAAATGTCAGGGTGTTCTGGTAAGTAAACAGCTACTGCCCTGTGCCTTGATTTCAATTCATAATACACTGATGTTTTGAAATACAACCTTCAAAAATGAATGCATGATTACAAAATAATTTCCTCAAATGGTTTTTGACAGGAATTAATACATTTGTGCCATGGTTTAATATGTCACCAGAAATCGGGAGATTCATTTTACTCTTTGTATGACTGAATAAGTGTTGAACTGGGAATATAAAAGGAAAGCCTAGGGAACGAAGATACAGTACTTAAATTCACATATATGTTAAATAATAATTTCCAGAAACCCAAATGGCCATTATCCTTCCTAATTATTTTTCTGGTGTAGTAGAACTTAGCACAAATATAGCTAAGTATCTCTTTAAGGTTTCAAGACTATTTAGCCACCATAGTGTCAAATCCCGAGAAAACAACTGAACCCTGTACACTTAGGCATAGGAAGTATCACAGTATCTACTTGCTAGTCACTCCTGTCTCTGAAGACGTCTAGGCTGTGGGCACTTTGACTTGCATTCTTTTCATGTAGCGGGCTCCTTAAAAAAAAAGAAAATTTAAACAATTTTAATTAACTATACTTAAAAATGAACAAATGCATCTAAATGAACATAGTAAGCAAGAACAGAGTAGCAGCCAGTTGCTACATTTCCTATCAGTGTCATTCCCCAAACATCATCCAACACTTGAGTCCTGGTTGTGCAAATTCAGTGTGTGACAGAATCTCCCCTTTCACAGTGACACTTCCTCACTTAATCCCTATGAGAAGACTGCATATACTGTAATATTCCTTTTGCTGCTTTAATATGCCCTAACAGAAGAATGGATGAAAAGTCTACTTTCCTATGGTTTCGAAATTATAAAAACATTATTTCTTTAAAAGTGCCATATAATTTGTTTCTTACAGATCATTGGTACTTCCAATAATTCCATTTGAATGAAGTTCTATGTTTTTACCACTATGAACACTGTATTAGTAACTTCCAGTGATCTTGAAGCAAAATAATGTGCTCTCTTCCCATGCAGAAGTGGCTATGGCTGATGTCTTCAATGTATCATCCATAATTAAAAGAAAACCCTGAACCTAACATATTCCTATCCACTTGTAATAACCAAATTTTGAAGAGTATTTTCCATGAGGTGAATGAAGTTATATACATTCATTTTGCATAAGAATTTGACTTTTATGTGTGTCCTACCAATGGTTGACATGGGAAATAAAAATGTACTTTAAGATTATTCAGTTAAGTACTATCTATATAAAGTCTTTCCATTCATAGCTTACATGAGACAATCTCTAGGCAATTATTAAATTATCCAGGTTATACATATACATTACTTACTACAGAACTGAGAGGTATCTATCTAGTCCAAGCAGAGTTAGTGAGGGTTTTATGAAGTTCAACAAGTTTCTATTGTTACTTTCACATAGTTAATATTACAATCAAAACTTTAAGAAGTGGGGTGAAGAGATGAGGGAAATATTCAAGATATATTTAATTATGCCAACTATATTCAGAAGAACTTACGTACTAAGAGTTCATCTCCAGGGAGAACTCTAAAGTATGTTTTGGAAAATTGAAAACATACTGACAGTGTATAAATATCAATTACAATGATGAAGATTATATTCATTTAATTGGTGCAATTACTTTTTGTTTGAAATGCTCAGTCTTAGATGAACTAAAGCCTAGCAAATGCATGTTTAGGCTCAAGTAATTTTCTGATTATATATGCACTGTTAAAGTGAAATACAATGTATTGGTTAAACTAAACATAAAAAAGAGCAACAAAAGATGAGAGAGAAATTAGAGTTGTTGTGGTTTAACATCTTTATAGATTTGTAATTGTGTCAGAGGAAAAAAATCCAGGTTCCCTCTCACAACACACAAATACTGACTCAGCAGCAGGGTTTCTTTACACAGAAATGAAGATAGGACTCTTCTCTCTACCCAGCCTGTCATTTTGCCCAAGTTTCATGCTCTGCAGGTAAGCTTGCACAATTCATCTCAAAAGTTCTGGTCCTCAAGAGCATGTTCATGGGTTCTTTGGTCTTTCAAACTCTGCATCCCACAAGTGGTCAGATTTGCATTTTTCATCAAACAAACTGCTGCGTCCTCCAGACTGCTCTCTCTGACTTACCCTAAAGAGTTTTACTTAAGACCATACAATGAAGACTCTATGCACTCCATAATAGGTTATTTCGTTATTTATGGCTGAAGAATTTTTATCTTCACAAATTTCTTCTAAAGGGTTATTGGGCTTTTCGGGGAAATCTCAGTAAGTTTGTCCTCTAAAAGGAGAACAGAGACCCAGAGCGGCAGTGAGTGCTTGTGGTCCATTTTCTCCCTGGGAGAGGAAGGTTGGTACTGTTGTTTGGATCGCGACTCTTCTTCAAAAGCCATGTTCAAGTGTTGGTCACCTGACAATAAACTACTGGGAGGTGAAGGAACTTCTTACATGTTGGGTCCCGCTGTGACAAATTAGGCCACTGGCAGTTGAATTTGAAGGGATTCTGGTATTCGGGCTCTCTCTCCTCTCTTCTCTTCCTGGCCATCATAAAAGGGACAGCTTTGCTTCACCATGCACAGTACGACAATGCTTGGTGTCAAACCAGTCCCCCAAACAACAAAACTAATTGGTCATGAGCTGAAATTAACATCCTATAAATCAGTTGATGATCGTGGGTATTTTGTCATGGCAACAGAAAGCTGATTTACACTGTTGGGAAGCAAGGTGACCTGTTAATTAGAAAGGCTTTAGCTCCTCTTTATAATAAACTTCTGCATGCATTTTCCTGCTTGTAATTACTGAAAATATTGTTATGGAGGTGTTGGCTGACGATTAGGCTTGACAAAAGGACAAAGTAGCCAGTCCTAGGAGCTAGCAAGATTACTCAATAGTGTGCTCCAGCAAAGCTCTTAGTGTAATCTGATACACATATCATCAACTCTTATGGTTAACATCTTGTGGTGGGAATGTTTTTTGAGGAGTGAAATTCTGCATTAGCATTTAATAGTCCCATAGAACTGAAGACCCTTTGATAAGTTTTATACTAGGTCTCCTGCAGACTCCAAATGTGTCCTATTTTTAAAAAGCAAATTTAACTCCTCTGAGCGTGAACATAACTGGTGTTACTGAAATGGTCATTCTACAGTCATCTAAAGGCTATTAAAACAGGTCTGCAGAATAGAAATCAGGAGTTAGCTGCTTTAACTCTATTTCCTACACAATGACAACAATATGTGAATTTCACTGTCTGTTTACATTTAATAATATGTTATTAAAATCTAAACAACCACTTTTACCTTATTATGACAAATAAAATTGTATACAAATACACTATTCAACTACTGAAAAGTAAAATTATTTTATTTTTTGGTAGCCATTTTGCCTTTTTGATGGTCTTTCTATGTAGCTCAGATTGGTGCCTAATGGATGAGAATCCCTATTACGCACGAGTCCCTCATCCTCTCAAGAGCTGGGGTTACAGGCATGAACCCCTGGATTGTTGCTGTTTTTAAGACAAAGAACTGTCTGCTTCTACTCATGCTGATTTACTACTTGATATGCTGAAATGAACACATAGCTGAATTTATAAGAATATGTGTTTGACCATGAAAATCAGTAACATGCTTGTTGGTGCAATATTGCAACCTTTGTTACAAAGGAGGCTAAGTCGAGGGATCATGAGTTCAAGGAGTTCAATGCTATCCAGGGCAACTGAGCTAAGATCATGTCCCAAAATTAAAAATACTGAAAGGACTGGAATATAGCTCATTAGCAGAACACATATTAGCATGTGTGAGGCCATAGCTTCGACACCTAGTACCACCCCAAACAGACAAACAGCAGCAGAAAGTTTTCCAACAAGAAAGAAATGGGCTGTTTTAAGAATAAACCCTTAGCTGGGCATAGGTGGCCCACTCCTTTAACTCCAGCACTTTGGAGGCAGAGGAAGGAGGATCTCTGTGAGTTCGAGGCCAGCATTGTCTACAGAGCAAGTGCCAGGATGGGCTCCAAAGCTACACAGAGAAACCCTGTCTTGAAAAACAAAAACAAAACAACAACAAAAAAAGAATAGACCTTCAGGAAAAAATAGACAACAAACTTGGCTTCTAAGAAAATCAGAAAACTTATAAAGTGAATGGAGTTAAAAAGATCAAAATGTTTTGAGAACATGTGTGTGTGTGTGTGTGTGTGTGTGTGTGTGTTCCTAGAAGGATTTGAATCATAGTCAAATAAGATGAAGAGAAATAAAAATTGTACTATTAAAAATGGGAAAAACATGTGTTTGAATGCTGTAGGATTTTTAAATCTGAACAGGCTTGCTTTCTATCTCTACCAGGACTGAATGTTTGTGATGATTCATGTGATTAATAGGTTACTGTCATTTCAAAACAAAACCCACTAACCACAAACGAAAACACCTTGTTGTGATAATAGACCCCAGCACATGGGCATTCATGGGTCCCTTCCCTTAAATAAAAAACAATAAAATAAAAAATAAAATACTCTATGGTGTGTAAGTGGGTAGAAATTTTCTACTGTTTCTCCCAGTCCCAGCTGGTGGAGGGTATTCTTGACTGAGCTCCTGAGCCTGGGGTGGAAGGAAGTCTGTTTCATTGACTTACAGAGAGAGTTTATACACGCATGTATTGTTTGGAAACCTTTTAGAAGGCTCCTTGCTTTGGGCTATAGTTCCTTTGGAGGCAATTCCATTTCTGCTTTCTTAGTTAACATTCTAGAACTCGAACCATGTCCCTGGATGCCATAGCCATATATAAATCATGGCAGTGAAGAAGCATGCATACTGCAGTGTTTGGATATAGTCCTCTGGAGTGCCCTTCCAATCAGCACTTGCCCGTAGTTTGACCTGCATTTCTGACAAACTACTCAAAAGTAGAAAGCACGTGTTAAAAATCCTCTGGGCACAAGTTCCTACTTAACACATGATTTCCCAGGGGCAAAACCTTGCTCAGTTACACTTTTAATCAGCGTGTCTGGTCTCACTGCAATATTTAACACACATTGCCGCAGGCTTTAGTGTGAGTGTAGAGAAATAGGCCAGACCTCGATGCCAAGACCCACAACCTCCCACTCACTAATGTTATATTTAAATATGATTCTTCACTGCAAACACTGAATCACTCATTGAGGCCATCCTTTGGAATCCTTGGGGTAGAGGCGGTCTACCTGACAATTGCAAAGCTTAAGATTGAGGATCCAAAATGATGCTTAAGTGAAAAGTCCAGAGCATATGAAATGTCAAGTGTGTTTTGAAACAAGTATTGATTTGTCTGAAAGCTTTAAGTTAGTGTCATGGTCAATGCTTTCTTAGGGTTTCTGTGACATGGTTACTAATTGTTATTGATCGTTTAATGCTGATAATATCCTAGGAGATGTTGAAGTACAAACACTGCATAGCAAAGAAATTCAATGAGTGTTTTGGGATATTTTGAAACTCTGCCATGACACTCTAAGACTGTTAAATAAATAACAGTTAAATAATGTTTACCCTGAGTTGGGGGCAGAGCCA